CTACATTTGATCTTGAAGTTATTAATGTTACATAACTAAAACTGAAACTTATTGTTGTTGTCAACTATATCTGTCTATATGGGCTAAAAAGAACAATGGGGTTCCTGCTATATGAATATATCTGTCTATATGAACCGTCCCAAGTGTATCTGTCTATATCTGTCTATATAGACAGATATAGACAGATACACTTGGGACGGTTCATATAGACAGATATATTCATATAGCAGGAACCCCATTGTTCTTTTTAGCCCATATAGACAGATATAGTTGACAACAACAATAAGTTTCAGTTTTAGTTATGTAACATTAATAACTTCAAGATCAAATGTAGAGAACATATCAAAGACATGGCTAGTTTGTTGACATGGCTAAACATAGGACGGTTCATCATAGATTAAAAAAGATTCAGATAAGCTATTAACAATACTTAAAAGGGGTCTGACATGGCTAATCTGTTGACATGCCAGAGCATAATCTTGTCACAGCGATAGTATTTTCCTAATCCAACATATTAAGGTGGCCAAGTCTGACAATTGATCTAAAGGCTAAAAGTAGGATTCAGAAAATGAAGAGGACAAAGTGTGTTTTGAAGCAAATAAATAGTAACAGAACCATGTATTAGTTCATCAATGTCTTATATACAATGCAGTCAACATTTTACAATATTCACATAATGAATATATACAGATGGAAAATTTTCCTCTCTTATGTGTTGCTAATTGGTTTTCTTAATATATTCACCCCTGATCCCACTTTGGTAAGACTCCAGGTAAAACTCCGAATATGTGTGATTAACAGCTAGTCTCATATATCGAGCAAAGTACGGACTTGAATATAAGACCTCCTGTTGTTTACCTCCAACAAGAAACTCTCACCAACGGAATTCCTCTCCAATTTAAGACCATATCTGTAATAACCCCGACCCCCGATTAACGTTAAGTCATGACTAATTATGCCTAATAGTAATTTAGGAGAAATCTGGAATTAATTTGCCTATGCTGAGCGTTGTTTGTATATTTCCATATGTTGCCTGTTTGCTTATTTGTTTATGTTTTTATGCTTTAAACTGCGAATTGAAGGCCTTATCGACAGCCGAATCTGAAATTGATTGATGTTCTATATTAATTAGAATTAATGTGATTTTATGGTGTAATTATCTGAAAAGTGATTTGGTATGATTAAACTAGATTAAATTAAGCTAATTGGCAAGAGTTTAATTTATTTACCACTACGCCATTGAGTAGGCCATTTAGCCAACATATATTGAAGCTTTGTTTACATTGTACAACACTTGAACAAAACATTTCCTCAGCCATATTCATTGTCCTAGTCAACTAGAGAGAGAGAGACAAGAGAGATAGTTGATTTCATCTCATTTTGGCTTGGAGATTAAGGGAATTAGAGAGTGAATTGCAAGATTAAGCTTCCTTGCCTATAATTCAAGACTTAAGGTAGGAGATTCAACATTTTATTGTTGAATTCAAGTTAATTCTTGCATGTTTCATGCTAAGCTGAAGAGTTGAGATTACAATTGGTTCAAAAGTGTTGATTTAGAGCTCATTCCATGCATGCATGTGCATATCTCTCGTTTTTGGAGGTTGTTGTTCATAAATTCCCACATGCATGTTCATGTTAATGTAAGGACCATGAATTCAACTTGTTTTTGGAAGATTAGACTCATTTGAACTTGTATTTAAAGCTTTGAATTGATTTAAGTTCATGCATGTTCATTTGAGATCATGTTCTTGAAAATTGGTTTGAAATTGGATTTAATTGAACCACCCTTGGGCTTTGATTTCTCAAATTGATCTTTGAAACATGTAATATTATGGGTTTTGAAGTGTTTTCCAGAAAATTAGCCCAAGAGGATCAAAATTTATGCATTAAAACTTGGTTTTGAGATTGGAACTCAAATCTGGGAATTCCAGATTTTGGGCTCCCGCTCGAGTGGGGGAAGTTGCGCGCGAGCGGGGAATTCGAGCTCCCAGCATCTTGCATTGCATTACAGTCTACTCAAGCGGGGAAATGGACGCTCGAGCGGGGGCATGTGTCTCATGCTCGAGCGGGCATCAAGCGCCCGTCGAGCGTGAATTTCACCTATCCAGCATTTTTGCAGTCCGCTCGAGCGGGGGAGTTGACGCTCGAGCGGAGCCCTTTGTTGCATGTCCGCTCGAGCGGGGAAACCCACGCTCGAGCGGGACCCTGTTTTTCTGAAATTTCTAAAAATGTTTCTAAGCCATTCTTTTGCATCCTCATTTCATCCTAGGCAATCCTAAGCCATGTTTAAGACTCCTTAATGAGAATTAAAGGTTAGAAACACATTAAGAACAAACGAAACAAGTTGTGCGTTATTCGAATGGATGTTCAAGTGTGTATGTTGTATGTGTGTTCATATAGGTCACGCACCTCAAAAAAAGTGGAGTGCCGCCTTACCATCTATTAGAGCTATCAATCATCTGTGAGTAGTAACTTTGTAAAGTTGTGTTTAATGTTATGTATTTTCAGAATACTATGATACAAAATGATTGATTCTTTAAAACGCTATGATATGTTGGAAACGAATGAATGATTGTCCAAGATTCTGAAAGTTAACCGTGGCATCCTTAGCACTACATGATATGCGTCCCTTTATGGGTCATCAGAACGTCTCTGTGCACATGAGTCATCAAGTCCCTTTTATGGGTCATCAGGTCCCTTTATGGGTCATCAGATTTGTGAACGCTATTGGATGTACCACGTATGATTATGTTACAACCTGAATATGGAAATGATTTTGAATAAGTATATGAATCTGATTTCTAACTCTGTGATGGACATCATTCATTAAACTCCTTTATTCTGTTATTATTTATTGGGCTTTAGCTCACCATTTATACTATGTATGTAGGTGAACAAGCTGGTGACCAGGCCCAGAGTTGACGGCCTATGCCTTGGTTTTTGTCAGCCAACCCTTGCGCCTCCCGAGGAGGTTCCGCTTGAAGTCAAGTCTTATGGCTGTTTTGTGTTCATGCTGGTCTTGTAAATATGTTGTAAAGTTAGACCTTGGGATGTACACTTTGTAGATATTGGTACGTTTTGACTGGAATGTTATGTATATAAATAAGTTTTGAAATGTTCTGTTCCATGTACGTCATCACAGCTCATTGGACCCTGTTTATATTATATATTGCTTCCACAACCCCTTACTATTTGTTAATGTATTCAGAGGCCTTTGGTAATCCATGGATTACTGGCCGGTTACGATGCTAAACCTACAGGGGCGGGTTTGGGTCGTGACAATATTGTTGTTATTCTCACCTTCAATCCTCACCGCATATAGATTCTCCCCATCTCTCACCATTTCCTCAACTTCCATTAAGCTCCGTTCACTCACTCGCCAACCCTCTAACCCTAACCCTAACCCCGAGCGATCACAACAACTCATCTCCCATTTTTTACTCCAAGAAATTGAAGATATCAAAGGTGCCACAAAGAGACATTCCAAGATAGTTCTTGATTGTCCAAGATGAATTGGCAAAGCCCACTCTATTGATTCTAATAAAGCTTGGTAATGTACCAAATGACCATCCAAAAAAGACCCAAAACTAGAGGAACTTTTTGATGTTACCCAAGTATCTCCATCACCAACAGTTACAATACCCATATTATTATAATCATAATTTGCAAGCACAATGATGCAGCTCCTTATTATTATAATCATAATACACACACACACACACACGTTATGCAGCTCCTTTCAGTACATATATGCATAACTGATGCAGGTGCTTGGAAAATGAAGCAATAGGGATGATGATGACAAGTCAACTGAAATTTATACCTCTAGTCGAACTACTGAGAAAGGCTTTTGGCCAGCTCTATGATGTAATGTCTTCTTCTTCCGGATTTTTCTATTCTTCTTGCTTGATTTCCGTCAAATATGAAATTTATTTAAGATGTTATAAAAAATTATCATATATAAACAATTCCTATAAACTTCAATTTCATTGTGCAACGAGGAACATAGTAACACAATTCTAGTTTTGTAGATTTAGAGGCTCAAAGTGCAGAAAATTAATAAAAGAAGAAAATTAAATATACATGGATTTACATTGAAATTAATAATGGGTATACATCTTAGAGTTAGATTAGATGAATAACAAATCTAAGAATTGTTGACCAATCACAACAAAAGTCAAAAGGTTATACATACCAGCTGAAACTGAGCCATGTGATGTACTACTGCTATGTAATGTGGTAGGAAGATTGCCTGGTGGATGCAATGATGCTTGTGGATCAGGTATGACTCTCATCTTAAGTGTGGCATGAGTCTCATCTGAACTAGAACTATTAGAGCTTGATTGCTCACTCTTACCTTGTTATTCTTCTTCTTCTCTTTTTTTGAAAGGTGAACCTACATTTAATAAGAATAAGTATTTTAATTAATAAGGTCTTGTATTGCCAAAAAGGCTTTGATTAAATGATTGCTCATCTTTTGGGATAAAAATGTATGAGATTGTTGTTGATGTGGCATTGGCTGAACAGTGGGATGACTATTAAGTGAATCCACAACCTATCATTTAATAAGAGGCTTAAGTTGTATAGTTGCTCTAGGCAACTTAAAGTAATAACTAATAAAAATAGTTAAAATACCTACTGTCTATGTAATAGGTTTGAGGGTGCAACAATTGGTGCAACGGGCACGGCCGTAGCTTGCAATTGAGATTTCAAAAACTCAATTTGTGACTGAAAATCTGTGCGTATAGCCTGAATTTGTTTCTCCATTACTTCATTCATCTTCGACTTGAACTGCATTTGATACCGTTGAAGTTGCTCTTGAACTTGTTCCTGAACTTGAGTTTGGAAGAGACGATTCTGCTCTTGTGACCGCCTATATCCACCTCCAAAACACATCCGTGGGTGACGGTCCCAATCCAAACGTCCGAACACGGCCAGGTCACTCTGAGCTCATAACTTGTGTGAAGATTTGCTCCTGTAATGCTGCAGGGTTAGTAGAAGATCCCTCCATGTGCTCTGTTAACTCATTCATTTGAGTCTGCAAGTTTGAATTCAATAATTAGCCTCCAATATAAATATAAATCATATTAAAAGTCCAAAGATAAAGTAGTATCACATACCATAACCTCATTAACTGAATCACTATTTGACGTCCCATCTTTCATGTATACGGCCATCCACACCTGTGACCGACTAGCAGGAACCCCATTGTTCTTTTTTGTCTCCTTTAAATAAAAGACAACCAAAATCTTAAGATAAATAAGAAAATTAAATAATTAAGCAATTAAATATGTGAACAAGTTAAGTAAATAAAATAAACAACTAAGCAAATTAACTCATTGAACACTAAACACTTGGGACGGTTCATATAGACAGATATAGACAGATATATTCATATAGACGATTCATATATCTGTCTATATAGACAGATATAGACAGATACACTTGGGACGGTTCATATAGACAGATATATTCATATAGCAGGAACCCCATTGTTCTTTTTAGCCCATATAGACAGATATAGTTGACAACAACAATAAGTTTCAGTTTTAGTTATGTAACATTAATAACTTCAAGATCAAATGTAGAGAACTTATCAAAGACATGGCTAGTCTGTTGACATGGCTAAACATAGGACGGTTCATCATAGATTAAAAAAAATTCAGATAAGCTATTAACAATACTTAAAAGGGGTCTGACATGGCTAATCTGTTGACATGCCAGAGCATAATCTTGTCACAGCGATAGTATTTTCCTAATCCAACATATTAAGGTGGCCAAGTCTGACAGTTGATCTAAAGGCTAAAAGTAGGATTTAGAAAATGAAGAGGACAAAGTGTGTTTTGAAGCAAATAAATAGTAACAGAACCATGTATTAGTTCATCAATGTCTTATACAATGCAGTCAACATTTTACAATATTCACATAATGAATATATACAGATGGAAAATTTTCCTCTCTTATGTGCTGCTAATTGGTTTTCTTAATATATTCACCCCTGATCCCACTTTGGTAAGACTCCGGGTAAAACTCCGGATATGTGTGATTAACAGCTAGTCTCATATATCGGGCAAAGTACGGACTTGAATATAAGACCTCCTGTTGTTTACCTCCAACAAGAAACTCTCACCAACGGAATTCCTCTCCAATTTAAGACCATATCTGTAATAACCCCGACCCCCGATTAACGTTAAGTCATGACTAATTATGCCTAATAGTAATTTAGGAGAAATCCGAAATTAATTTGCCTATGCTAAGCGTTGTTTGTATATTTCCATCTGTTGCCTGTTTGCTTATCTGTTTATGTTTTTATGCTTTAAACTGCGAATTGAATGCCTTATCGGCGGCCGAATCTGAAATTGATTGATGTTCTATGTTAATTAGAATTAATGTGATTTTATGGTGTAATTATCTGAAAAGTGATTTGGTATGATTAAACTAGATTAAATTAAGCTAATTGGCAAGAGTTTAATTTATTTACCATTAGGCCATTGAGTAGGCCACTTAGCCAACATATATTGAAGCTTTGTTTACATTGTACAACACTTGAACAAAACATTTCCTCAGCCATATTCATTGTCCTAGCCGACTAGAGAGAGAGAGACAAGAGAGAGAGTTGATTTCATCTCATTTTGGCTTGGAGATTAAGGGAATTAGAGAGTGAATTGCAAGATTAAGCTTCCTTGCCTATAATTCAAGACTTAAGGTAGGAGATTCAACCTTTTATTGATGAATTCAAGTTAATTCTTGCATGTTTCATGCTAAGCTGAAGAGTTGAGATTACAATTGGTTCAAAAGTGTTGATTTAGAGCTCATTCCATGCATGCATGTGCATATCTCTCGTTTTTGGAGGTTGTTGTTCATAAATTCCCACATGCATGTTCATGTTAATGTAAGGACCATGAATTCAACTTGTTTTTGGAAGATTAGACTCATTTGAACTTGTATTTAAAGCTTTGAATTGATTTAAGTTCATGCATGTTCATTTGAGATCATGTTCTTGAAAATTGGTTTGAAATTGGATTTAATTGAACCACCCTTGGGCTTTGATTTCTCAAATTGATCTTTGAAACATGTAATATTATGGGTTTTGAAGTGTTTTCCAGAAAATTAGCCCAAGAGGATCAAAATTTATGCATTAAAACTTGGTTTTGAGATTGGAACTCAAATCTGGGAATTCTAGATTTTGGGCTCCCGCTCGAGCGGGGGAAGTTGCGCTCGAGCAGGGAATTCGAGCTCCCAGCATCTTGCATTGCATTACAGTCTACTCGAGCGGGGAAATGGATGCTCGAGCGGGGGCATGTGTCTCATGCTCGAGCGGGCATCAAGCGCCCGTCGAGCGTGAATTTCACCTATCCAGCATTTTTGCAGTCCGCTCGAGCGGGGGAGTTGACGCTCGAGCGGAGCCCTTTGTTGCATGTCCGCTCGAGCAGGGAAACCCACGCTCGAGCGGGACCCTGTTTTTCTAAAATTTCGGAAAATGTTTCTAAGGCATTCTTTTGCATCCTCATTTCATCCTAGGCAATCCTAAGCCATGTTTAAGACTCCTTAATAAGAATTAAAGGTTAGAAACACATTAAGAACAAATGAAACAAGTTGTGCGTTATTCGAATGGATGTTCAAGTGTGTATGTTGTATGTGTGTTCATGTAGGTCACGCACCTCAAAACAAGTGGAGTGCCGCCTTACCATCTATTAGAGCTATCAATCATCTGTGAGTAGTAACTTTGTAAAGTTGTGTTTAATGTTATGTATTTTCAGAATACTATGATACAAAATGATTGATTCTTTAAAACGCTATGATATGTTGGAAACGAATGAATGATTGTCCAAGATTCTGAAAGTTAACCGTGGCATCCTTAGCACTACATGATATGCGTCCCTTTATGGGTCATCAGAACGTCTCTGTGCACATGAGTCATCAAGTCCCTTTTATGGGTCATCAGGTCCCTTTATGGGTCATCAGATTTGTGAACGCTATTGGATGTACCACGTATGATTATGTTACAACCTGAATATGGAAATGATTTTGAATAAGTATATGAATCTGATTTCTAACTCTGTGATGGACATCATTCATTAAACTCCTTTATTCTGTTATTATTTATTGGGCTTTAGCTCACCATTTATACTATGTATGTAGGTGAACAAGCTGGTGACCAGGCCCAGAGTTGACGGCCTATGCCTTGGTTTTTGTCAGCCAACCCTTGCGCCTCTCGAGGAGGTTCCGCTTGAAGTCAAGTCTTATGGCTGTTTTGTGTTCATGCTGGTCTTGTAAATATGTTGTAAAGTTAGACCTTGGGATGTACACTTTGTAGATATTGGTACGTTTTGACTGGAATGTTATGTATATAAATAAGTTTTGAAATGTTCTGTTCCATGTACGTCATCACAGCTCATTGGACCCTGTTTATATTATATATTGCTTCCACAACCCCTTACTATTTGTTAATGTATTCAGAGGCCTTTGGTAATCCATGGATTACTGGCCGGTTACGATGCTAAACCTACAGGGGCGGGTTTGGGTCGTGACAATATTGTTGTTATTCTCACCTTCAATCCTCACCGCATATAGATTCTCCCCATCTCTCACCATTTCCTCAACTTCCATTAAGCTCTGTTCACTCACTCGACAACCCTCTAACCCTAACCCTAACCCCGAGCGATCACAACAACTCATCTCCCATTTTTTACTCCAAGAAATTGAAGATATCAAAGGTGCCACAAAGAGACATTCCAAGATAGTTCTTGATTGTCCAAGATAAATTGGCAAAGCCCACTCTATTGATTCTAATAAAGCTTGGTAATGTACCAAATGACCATCCAAAAAAGACCCAAAACTAAAGGAACTTTTTGATGTTACCCAAGTATCTCCATCACCAACAGTTACAATACCCATATTATTATAATCATAATTTGCAAGCACAATGATGCTGCTCCTTATTATTATAATCATAATACACACACACACACACACACACACGTTATGCAGCTCCTTTCAGTACATATATGCATAACTGATGCAGGTGCTTGGAAAATGAAGCAATAGGGATGATGATGACAAGTCAACTGAAATTTATACCTCTAGTCGAACTACTGAGAAAGGCTTTTGGCCAGCTCTATGATGTAATGTCTTCTTCTTCCGGATTTTTCTATTCTTCTTGCTTGATTTCTGTCAAATATGAAATTTATTTAAGATGTTATAAAAAATTATCATATATAAAATTTTTTTCACATAAATAAAATTTTACCGATGCACTCTGAGTGCCCTAATAGTAAACCAAAGCCCACCACTGATCCTCATGTACTCTATCTGGTCGATGAGCTAATCTTTCTGCATCATTCTTGACGGGTTTGTATCCCATTGTTTTCACTCGACTTTTCCAATCTCTCCATTTCTTTCCAAATGAAGCCATTATTGTTCTCTTCATGGATTCATCTGCATCCGTATGAGCCTGCATTACAATTATAGACACTTGTAATATGCAATGTCAACTACATTTGTAATATGCATTTCATATGGAATACAATTGTAACTTATTTCATATTAAATATCCATATATACCTTTATCTCCCTCCATATGTTATCTTTGTTTTGTTTTGGAACATAATGCCAAATCGTAAAAGTGAGTGGTGCAAGACTCCCATCTCGTGCCAAAACGCCCAAATGTGAAACAGGGGATGTGTGTCCTTCAACTACTTGATTCAACTCATTTGGAACAACTTTTAAAATGCCATCTTCACTAGTATCCCATTGACCATGCACATATGTGGGACCCCTTGTCTGCTTTTGTGTGGCTTGACTTGAGCTAGGACCTACAAAACAATAGTATTTGTTTGTGAAGATGAAGTCATAATGTGCAAATCATACCATGGGGTGTTAAAATTCTGCTATCCTTGCTTCTATACCACACATTATGCTTTTAATTATCCAAACTCAATTTTTTAAAAAATAACCATGCATTATGTATGATAGATAGGACTACAAATCTAACTCAAAAACACCATAAGAAAATATCAAGCAAAATTGATACATACCAGCTGAAACAGAGCTATGTGATGTACTACCGCTACGTGATGTGGTAGGAAGACTGCCTGGTGGATGCCATGATGCCGGTGGATCGGGTATGACTTTCATCTTGAGTGTGGTCAGAGTCTCATCTGAACTAGAACTACTAGAGCTTGATCGCTCACTTTCACTAGAAGAATGGTCGGAGCTAGAACTCATAGATAATATCTATAAAAAAACTACAAACACAAGAGTAAGGACATGATAATCTATAAATATCTACTGCATTCAAAACAAAATAAGAGTACATGAAAGGTAAAAATGGCCATTTAGAGAAAGGTACAAAGGTACAAAAGCAAAGATTTTACTAATATGAATATCCATACAGAAAACACAAATGTAAAAGTGAATATGCGACCAATTACAATATCATATCAGTTCTTCGTCATTTTCAAATTGTGCCTCTGTCGATGCTTCAAGAGGTCCAATAGTTTCATCAACAGTTGTTTCATCAATACCTTGCCTAACCCAATCCATGTCCTCCTCACAAGTGAAGGAAGCTACATCTAACTCTTGATCACCAAATCCTTCCACTTTGTTGTGATGTAGTCCTTCATCAATAGTTGGTTGTTCTCCACATACCTCATACAAGTCTCTAGGTTTCATCTTGAGTGCAACATTCCAATCTTCATCACCAGAATCATTAACATAAAAGACTTGTTGTGCTTGAGATGCTAGGATGAATGACTCATCACTGTCTTGTTTCTTCGCATATAACAAGTGATTAAAATTAACAAGTGTAAAACCAAAATCATCCTGCTTGAGTCCCTTATTGTTATCAATCCAGTTGCACATGAATAACATGTATCTATGGTCGTGTGAGTAATACAATTCAATAATATCTGTCACATATCCATAGTACGCTACATCACCTTCCACTGGATTAATGTCTTTCGCACTTGCATAGCTAGAAGTCTTTGCCTTCACCATAACCCCACTATTCTGAGTTTTTCTTCTCAACTCACAACTCTTAGTATGATACCTAGTACCATTAATTATATACCCATTAAATCTGGTGGCCTTTTGGCTGGGTCCCAAAGCCAAAATTTTAATCTCTTCTGACAACGCTACATTTTCAGTAGCTAATAGCTTGGTATCCTATTTTTAAAAGAAAGTTATCAATATTAAACATCAATTAACAACTTCAAAAATATAGAAGCACATGGATTGCAAAAATATAGAAGACTTGTGCTTAACATACACTTACATGAGAATTGAACCATTTGGGAAACTCATCATTGTGACGACGATCCACATCATAATCTCTGAGACGACGATGTGACCGCTTAATAAATTCACGATGTTCCCTACACAATTAAACTACTTGTAAAATGCACGATAATTATAGTTGGTATAAATACATTCACAATGAGACAAAGGTTGCATCTATCTTACTCTCGATATGGGACAACTGCAGCAATGTTAAATAACATATACCGATGAGCTTGTACGCATGTTGTGTTTAGGGATGGCAATCTAAAACCGGCCCGATGGGGACCCGACCCCCCGATCCCGAATATAACGGTTATTCCCTGAAAAGTACCCCCAACGGGCCGGAGATGGTGATAAAAAAAAATCCCCGATGATATTCGGGCCGAGGACGGGGATACTTGTTTCAGTCCCGGCCCCAACCTCGGCCTTAAGCCCTGCCTCGTTTGTCCCCCCGAATGATATATATATTATATATCCCGATGAGTCATCCCTATATTATATATCCCTATCTATATACTTTTTTGATCTCCATCTACTCTCTTTCTCATTCAGTCATGTAGATCTACTGTCTCTCTCTTCTTCACCATCACTCATGGCGGCTCCTCTCTCTCTTTGCAGAACCCCCTCGTCGGCGGCAACCTTACTCATTCTCTTCGGAAGCTCCTCTCTCTCTTCGCAGAACCCCCTCGTCAGAGGCTCTTCCTCGCAGAACCCCCGCAACCACAGCCCTAAGAATGGCCACGGCAGCTCTGTTCGGCCTCAGTTCGACCGCCGATAGAGAACCTCTTCCTATCGATCATGTCGTTCATGCCGATCGAGAACCTCTTCCTCTCGATGTGTCGTTCATACCGATCGAGAACCCCTTTCTCTGCCGCAAATAGGGTGCTTGTTCTTGACATCTCTCTCTCTCTCTCTCTGAATGTTTTAGATTTTTTATTTTTTACATTTGAGCTCTTGAACATATATTTTAAATCTGGGTGTGTTGTTGTTGTTGTTGTTGTTATTGATGATGATCATGATCATGAGGATGATGAAGAAGAACATATATGATTTGGTGGTGTTGTTGGATCTGTTGTTGTTGTTGGTTATCTATATTGTTGTTGTTTTTTTTTTTTTTTTTAACCAGGGAGTTTTTGGGGTCAGGGAAACCCGATCCCCGTTGGGGGCGGGGGTGGGGACGTGATAAGCTCCCCGTCGGGGATCGAGGCCGGGGACGGGAAAATTTCTACCACCGGGGATCGGGGACGGGGAGTGCAATCCCCGGCCCCGCCCCGCCCCGTTGCCATTCCTAGTTGTGTTATCAAGAACAAACCCTTTTCTTTTTCCTAAAGCCCGCCCTATTAATATCTCAGGATTGTCACTAACATCGCAATTCCTTAACGGTCGATGCAATTTCGACTCAACATCATGCAAGTACCTTGAGCAAAATGTCATACATTCTTCGACCAAGTATCCCTGTGCAATTGAACCTTCAGGATGACTTCGATTACGCATGTATGATTTAAGCGTCATAAGGTACCTATAAACAAAAAGATGCATACATGACTTCCTAGTATAAACAATTAAATATATACAAAATGGACATTTGAGTAGAATTACACACCTTTCTATAAAGTGCATCCATCGATATTGCACTGGACCAGCAATCTTTGCTTCCTCTGCTAGGTGAATGGGTAAGTGCTCCATTATATCGTAAAATGATGGAGGAAAAATTCTCTCAAGATGGCAAAGTGTAAGAGCGATTTGGGACTGAAGACAATTTAGACCATCCACCTCTAGGGTTTTGAAACACAACTGCCTGAAGAAATTGCTTAACTCAATTAATGGTTCAACCACTTTCTTCGGTAACAAATTTCTCACTGCTATTGGAAGTATTTGTTGCATGAGTATATGGTTATCATGACTTTTTAGTCCAGATATGCTACGCTGTTTAAGGTTAACCCGACGAGTAATATTGGATGCGTAACCATCTGGAACTTTGATATTCTTTAGAAGTGTGCAGAATAGACTTTTCTCTCTATTGTTCATGGCGAAACATGCAGGAGGCAAATAATACTTGTTCCCAACCCTTTTCTGAGGATGTAGTGCCTTCCGAATTCCTATATCTTGCAGATCTCGACGAGTATTTAAATTGTCCTTCCCTTTCCCATCAACATTTAATATCGTCCACAATACATTATCACACACGTTCTTTTCAATGTGCATCACATCAAGATTATGGCGAATCAAATTATGCTCCCAATATGATAGCTCAAAGAAAATACTCTTCTTCTTCCAATTATGACCCGAGTCCTCATTTTCCTCCTTTTCTTTCCCCTTTCTATTACGTTTGCTAGATTGTTGACGCTTAGAATTCAATTTGAACTTAGGGCCTAGTTGTTGTAGCACATTAGCCCCTGATAACTAAGTTGGACATGGTTCGAATTCACGAGTGCCATCAAAAGACGCACTAGCTTTCCGAAATTTGTGACCCCCATTCAACCAGCGACGATGCCCCATGTAACATAATTTCCTTCCGTTCTTCAAATATCGAGAACGAGTATGTGTATTACAACAAGGACAAGCTAAAGCGCCTTTCGTGCTCCATCCAGACAAAATTGTATAGGCAGGAAAATCATTTATAGTCCACAAAAACACAGCATGCATTCGAAACATCTGATTAGTTTCCGCATCATACGTGTCAACACTGTTTTCCCATAGTTCTTTCAATTCATCCACTACAAGGCGCAAGTAGACGTCAATATTATTTCCAGGTGAAAAAGGACCATCGATGAGCAATGTCATCATTATATGAGGCTGCTTCATGCACAACCATGGTGGCAAATTGTATGGCATTATAATAACTGGCCAACTGCTATGAGAGACATTCATTGCCTTGAATGGATTGAATCCATCCGCTGCTAAACCCAGTCTGACATTGCGAGGCTCACTCGCAAACTTGGGATACAAATTATCAAAAATTTTCCAAACTGGGGAGTCAGCGGGATTTCTCATTTTGCCGTCATCAATTTGGCCCTTTGCATGCCATCTCATTAAACAAGGTGTTTTGGATGACATAAACAATCTTTGAAGCCTTGGAATCAATGGAAAGTTTCTAACAATCTTATGCGGAATTCCTTGTTGCTTCTTATTAACATCATTCTCCTCCCCCTCAAACTGTTTGTATCTAGGCATATGACACACTATGCAATCATCCATACCAGCTGTTTCCTTCCAATATAGTGAACAATCCCTTGGGCATGCATGTACCTTATGATAATCGAGGCCCAAGTCCCTAAGAAGTTTCCTAGTTGCATAAAATGACTTTGGCAAAGTTTCACCCTTTGGGAACGAATCCTTCAAAAGCTCGAGCAACATCGTGAAAGACTTTTCACACCATCCACTAAGGCACTTGATGTGCAACAACCGGACAATAAATGAGAGCGTTGAAAACTTCTGAAACTCAGGATATAACTCTCTTTCGGCCTCTTTCAATAAATTGAAGAATTTTTTTGGTTTTCTCATCTGGACCTTGTTTAATACCAGAACTTGCTGCCTCGTGAATAAAGCTTGGTGGAGGAAGTCCAAATCCTTCGTATAGCATTTCATAAGTTTCATCACCATCGTTCAAATTAGTTTGCCTGACATTCACATTGTGTGGCACAGGCGATGACAAATTCTCCCCATGAAAAATCAAACTGGTATAACTTGGAAGAAACTTGTTAATCATTAAATGTTCCCCTAACAGGCCTTTCTCTACCAATTTGACATTACGACACCGTTTACATGGGCATGTGACTTCATTCAACAACGGCTTATTTTCGCATGCAAATTTAATAAATTCCTTAACCCCTTGTATATATTCCGGGTGCAACCTATGCTGATTTATCCAACTTTTATCCATCTGACTCTGTCTTACACTACAAATGTCACTGCCAAATCAACAAAGTTCAAAATTACCGTTCCATTTTAATTAATCTTAACCTCAATTCAGTACCTTATAATGCATGCGACATGACATGAACTCATGGATGTGGGAAGTTCAAACCCACTACCCAAACCAATAAGTGTACCAAAGCTCGAATACTTCTGATGATAATTCAAAAAACACCAAAGAGCAGCCACCAAATGAGGAATCACATTCACAATCACAATCACAATCATAACCACAATCACAATCATATTAGTTGAGGAATCACAATCACAATCACAATCATAGTGCTGGTCACTATGAGAAATAATTGACCCAATATTTAAGATTTATGAAATGTTTTTTTTCTTCTTGACCTCTTAAAAGACGATATGTTTTGTAATCATGGTCATAGAATTGCACCTTTTGCATCAATCGCAGCTTGCAATCTCCATATCTTTTTAGAGTTGGGTGTTGTGCAATCTCCATCTCTTCAGATTGCTAATGAAATCAACTATTATCCCCAACTTTAATGTAGATAGTTTTTGGCTTTTTGTAAACTGCCTCAAGCCCTGGTTCCTATTCTAACTACAGCGCTAACTTCAAATCTAATGCTCCTTTTGGTACACTGGATATTAGCAAGGAAAGGTAGGGTGATGAAAAGTATCTCTAGGAAATGGAAATTGTTTTTCACTCATTCTATTTGGTTAAATTAAATAGAAAAGAAAGGGATTTTACATGATATTACAATTTTAGCCTCACATAACAGAGATTACTTGGTAAAAGATCTTTGAGTGACAAGGTTCTTTCTGCCTAACGGGAAAATTAATCGAATAATCCACTTTGTCACTGTTTCATAAGAGAATTGACTAGAATAATTTGTTTTTGTTTCAAAAGACTGTTCAATTTACTGATTTTCCTTTTTATGAATTCGCTTTTTCTTTTTCTTTTTTTTCATTTGAACAGGTGTTGGAAGAGAATCTTGATTGGGAGGATATCAAGTGGTCACAAATTGGTGTTTTCATAGCTGGAAAGGAGTATCCTCTTGCTCGGGTGCATTTCTTATCACCATAGCTAGCTGAAGCTCTTCTCCAGTAAATTTCTAGTACCCAGTATATGTAAAAATAATAATACTCTGAATTTATATATGGAGAGGGTTGTTTTTTGCTAAATAATGCTGAATATTAAATTATATTAGAGTCGGACTTGTGAAATTTAGTAGGTGTTTAAAATTTTAACAAATATGTGTATGGATTTTGTGAAATAGATATATAATGGTATTTGAACTGTTTGATGTACATCAGCTTCAACTTATTGGCTTTATTTTATTTTATGCTTCCCTAACCATTTGTTGAGAGTTGAAGCCAACGTTATTTTTGCTTATACAAATAACCGAACTTGGTTTATTCCTTGTTACGATTGGTTGAGTTTTGAGAATTTATTTTGAAATTTTTTCAATAACTAGCTTGATTATTTTTTTTTTCATATGGTTTTTTGGATCCAATTCTTTCATAAACAAAGGGGTGGGGTAGCCTTGGTACCAATTAAAGTTAAGCAGACTGCTTTCAGAATCCCATGCATCGATCAATGATGGATATAGTATGGAGTAATCATAGTTCATTCTCTTGTTTAAAGATAATTAATTAGACATTAATGAAAGCAAATAATATATTGCCAAGTAACCTAATGGTATAAAAAATAAAAAAAATCTCACAAGCATTTAGTTAACATTTGTCATTATAAAATTTTATGTTTTAGACTTGAAGACACTTGAATGGGATTGTCCATAATAGATGCATCAATAACAAGAGCAAAAGATCAAATCATGAAAAAACAGGACAACAAAATAAAATCAGAGGAACTAAACACAAAACTATCTAATAAAAAAAATGAAAAACTAGGAAAAGTTTCGACACCATTGCATCATACTCATCGCCAAACTCCAATTGAATCACAAATGAACTCAGAAGAGACTCCATAAACACATAATTTCTTGTTAATTGACCATTGATTTGTTGCAAAGCTTTGAATCTCATATCATTGAAGTCAGATGATGCGATCAAGTTTAACACATGATTCCAATCACAAACAAAAGGGATTCATATATATGATATATAGCATTAAACATATGCAAAAGAATGTGAGCTGGAAATTTGCCAACAGAGAGTAATATCATCAAAATTGAATTGACTAATAGAAAAATAGAATTAATATCTCATTCTCCATAGTTTCTTCTTCTTAAAAAAGTAATGAAATAACTAGTGCCTGATGCCAATACAGTAATTCTTCATTTTTCCCAAAGACCACAAATAGAGAGAGACAGAGACAGAGAGAGAGAGAGTACCGATTACAGTTCAGAAACAAAGTAGATCTGAATCTTCAAAATCGCTTCAATGGAGCTTCGAAATCGCAGGCGATGGAGCTTCGAAATCACGTCGATGGAGCTTCGATCTGAATCTTCGATGGCGCGATCTGTGCGTATGTATTAAGGGTTGAGAGAGAGAGATCTGTGCGTATGTATTAAGGGTTGAGAGAGAGAGAGAGAGAACAGGCTTTGATTCAAAATAAGGTTTCGGAGGCGCGTGTTCTTGTTCAAAAAAAAAAAAAAGGCGCGTGTGGCTACTGCATTATAAAACGGTGTCGTTTTGTTTAATAGAATACGCGGCGTTTTATAAAACGCCGTTAAATACTAATAACAGTGGCATTTAAAAAAACATCGTTAAAAAAACGCCACCAAATCCCCCTTTCCCTGTAGTGATTGCAATTAATTTTAAAAGACCAAGTTGAGGATGATAATAATTAAAATTTTCTTTAAAATCAACTTGGAGTGAAAACTAAGCAAAAGTTCATGAACTATCAGAGTACAAGATTTTTAAAGCAAGAAAGGACATAAGTAAAATTTTAAAAAAAGAAGTGCTCCAGTGAAGTTGGTCCATAAAATTTGTTTTGTAACATAGTTGAGCCAAATTTTGCGAGCTCAAGTGAGAGGCCAACTTTGAGAGATATAAGTCAATTTATAGCTTGATGACGCTCATTTTTATTTATTTAATATAACTAATATGCTTTTTAAAGTTTTTTTTTTTTTTTGTTCTCTTCCAACTTAACCAATTGAAGGAAATTTCTAACTTCTTTTACTTAAACTTATTCCATCATCATTTTATTTTTCTGTCTCTAGAAAAATTCAAAATCTAAACATAGCATAATTGTGCTCAAAGATTTAATGATAATATACATTTGATTGAAGACAATTGTTTAGAAGTTTAAAATAATTATATAATTTGAATAATAAAGTGTCATAAAAATTGTATAATTATTTTAAATTTTATTAACAACACCCTTAATTGAAAATACTTGATTGCTTTATCAAATAGGATTTCGGGAGTGTTTGGTGCATATTAAATTATGAAAAATTTAATTTGAGAGAATATATCAGACTGTTTGGTACAGTTATTGTAGATTTAGCTTAAATAAACTAAAAAAAAAAAATTGGTTATTTAGAAATTAGAAGAGAGATGTTTTTATCTTTTATTTTAATTACCAACTTTTAACTTATAATTATTTATACCAAACAGTAAAATCATACGTAACTGTTGCTTAAAACTTAATCCATAGACATCCCTAATATAAATTGGTCGGATGGTGCAAAGTTAGACATCATTTCAAACCTTAAGTTTGATGTGGCGAGGTCCAACCAATTGATTAATTTCTACATGATGGCTAAATTTGTCATTTCACTCAACACCATGCATGTGAATCTCTCAAACTAGGCAAGGATAGGATGGTCAGTTTATAACGATATTAAAGTAAATTTGGAAAAATCATTGAAGACGTTTTATTGGATCTTGCAAGTTGTACTCAAGGTGTCGCTGTTAGAAGTGGGCGCGGGTCGGTTGCGGCCACGGAACCTCCAATCCGTCATTCGTCTGTCAAATTGGCGGATTGGAAAAAATCAATCCGCATCCGTCCGCCAATCCGGCGGATGTGGATTGAGCGGATTGGTGGTTTGGCGGATGGATGTGAATCGGTTTGGCAGTTTAAAATTTTATAAATTTTCAACATAATTCAACTTGTGCACTTCCTCAAAAAAAGAATAAGAAAGTATTGCAGTCAATGACTTAAAAAAATATTACAATCACTGCATGCCTCATCCAAAGCAAGAAAGTTTTAAATTTTAGAATATCACAATCACTGCATGCCTCATCCACATAAAGTATTACAATCTATGGTTCTTAAAATATAAAATCAATTCAAACCACCAAAACCATGAACAGAGCAATAGTAGAGATTGTATGTCTCTGTATTGTTATATCTATATCTGTTTTTGAAAACAAAACCAACCAACATATATCATATTTTCTATTTATTATTTTTAGAGATAGATTTAAAAATAAAAAAAATATAGATAAATAATACGTTTATTTTTTTCAATTCAAAAAAGATATTCAAGTTGAAAACTTTTTTTAACAGAATATTTAAACTCTTTTTTAATTGAAAACACAAACAGAATATTTAAACACACTGAAAACACAAAATTTTATAAATTACTAGGGGTGCTTGCGGTTTGGCGGTTCGGTTGCGACCAAAAGAATCTCAAATCCACCATCCGTCCACTAGATTGGCAGATTGAAAAAAATCAATCTGCAATCGTCTGCTCGTCATCACGCATCAGTCCAAAATGCGGCGGATTGGTTCGGTTTGTTCGGTTTTGACGGAT